AAACGATTTTTAATCATCATTCTCACGATCATTTAATGTATCATATGTTCGCCGAATTGACATGAAAGCACTAATACATGTAGTTTCATCCACTTGAGTTTACAACTACAAAAATAATCGATTTGTTTTTATATCACATCCGACGGGAGGATTCAGTAGCTCTCACTACCGATTTTTAATCCTAATTTAATCATCATCTTCACCACGATCATTTATGTTTATGTTCGCCGAATTTACATGAAACCACTGACAAATATGAATATACTGTAGTCAACTTCATTAAAACGTTATTAACGTGCCTAAACTCAGTAATTCACCATTTCTATGCATGACAACACACTTTGTCCGTGTTTGGCTCTCTCGCCGCACAGTGAAGCGTTCCCGTATTGACATCACTTCCGGCTTCCCCCAAAACTTCAAAATGAGTCAAAGGAATTTCCCCGCGATGTTCGAAATTATTGATATTTAACGGAACGGTATCGCTTTTTCTTTTTTAAACTGACGGTTCAGGATGACTAGTAGCCCAATATTTCATTGCACAACAGTTGTTTGGATGCTGTCACAGGCTCTTTAAGGTGATCCAGACAGGCTGGACCAGAGGAGGAGAGACAGATCTGGACTCCTAACAGCAGAGAACTTCAGCACGGATTCCAAGGTACACCTTTTTCATACTTTACAAAGAATGCATAAAGTAATGACTCTAATACACTGATATACATGCCATTAAACATGACTGAATACTAGATCTCCTACACATCAGTGATGTTGAGTGTACTTTCTTAGAAAAAGGTTATATTTACATTTTACCAAGCAACATAACTTTTTTTGTTCAACTTTCACATTTCAATGTATTTAAGGCAAATATTATTGAACATAGTGAGAACTGCGACCCTTTGTCTCTGCTGCATATTGACTGTAAAACAACATGTTAAAAGTGATTCTTTCAGTGAGACAACCGAACAGAGCAAGCTTCTACAGTTGCACTAAGTTTTGATAACAGTTAAATATTAATTTAATAATACATTTATTTCAATGTTGATGAATTTAGAACGGTTTATTCATAATCTGATTATCTTTGTAGTACACTGTTGGATTTAAAAAACACATTCAAATAAAAAAATCATTATATTTATAGCCCCTGAACAAACAAACACTCCTCTATCTTAAATAACACACTTGCTCTGCAATAATATGTTTTTTGATATTTCTGTTCGGACATGCCTGAGAGACAGGACTGCTTCACCATTTCCTCTTTCTCTGAGGATCCAGAAGAACATCCAAGAGGGAGAGGAGAAGCTGATGTTATGAGATTTAAGAGCAGTACAGGACATTCACTAAGAGACACTTAGGCCCTTTCTCATTTCACTAATTCCCCTCCTTGAATCCCCTCCTCGAGACTTAGACCCGCCCACAGGAGATGCGCGCGGAAGAGCCAAGGAGGGGAACCGAGGAGAGAGGAGGGGAAGCAGCAGGCGGTTAGAGAAATGAGAACTCCTCTCCTCTGAGCGGTCATTTTAAAGAGACGTCCATTAATGATGACAGGAGGCACAGCAGCCCTCTGTCTGATGGACAGATGTGTTCATGACCACTTATATCAGGGATGCAAACTCATCAGGTATGACAAAGGTGCCAAGGATCCGAGCCCCCCAACCCCACGGAATATCGGCTTTAAAATTAAGAATAACAGAGGATTGTAGCAGTCAGAACAACTAAAGCAGCAGTGTTAATAATAACAGAAACGCTTAAGAGTCACATCTAATAGAAATATATAAAAGCATTTATTTTAATTGTGTAGCAGTCAGTTTATAATTTTGACAGCACTGTTGAGCATTTTGAAAATGTATTTTCATGCCTCTGTGCAAGGCTTAGTCTTTCTATCTGTATAGCCACCGGTGTTAAGTAACTAAGTTCATAAACTCAACAAGTACTATACGTGGGTACAATGTTGAGATACGTGTACTTTATTTAAGTATTTCAATGTTTTGCTACTTTGTTCTTCTTCTCCTCTACAGTTCAGAGGTACATGGTGTACTTTTCCTCCACTACATGTATTTCATACCTTTAGTTACTTCACAGATGTGGATGAATGATGTGAAATATAATCAAGTGTTAAATCAGACTTTAGTTCCACCTGGAGTAAATCCACAAGCTACCCTGCGTATACAAAGTCATTCAAACTAGCTGCACCTTTACCAGCTTTGAGAACACTTTCATGATCAATCATTATAAAACATATCATATATATTATTCTGAAATGGACCAATCTGCACAATGACTACTTTTACTGTCGCTACTTTCACTATATGTTGATGATAATACTTTTATACTTTTACTTGAGGAACATTTTGAATGCAGGACTTTTACAGTAACAGAGTATTCCTACACTCTGGTACTTCTACTTTTACTCAAGTACAAGATCTGAGTACTTCTACTTTTACTCAAGTACAAGATCTGAGTACTTCTACTTTGACTCAAGTACAAGATCTGAGTACTTCTACTTTTACTGTCGCTACTTTGACTATATTTTGATGATAATACTTTTGTACTTTTATTTGAGGAACTTTTTGATTGCAGGATTGTTCCTACTCTGGTACTTCTACTTTGACTCAAACCTGAGTACTTATACTTTTACTCAAGTACAAGATTTGAGTATTTATACTTTTATTAAAGTACAAGATCTGAGTACTTCTACTTTTACTCAAGAACAAGATCTGAGTACTTCTACTTGTACTCAAGTACAAGATCTGAGTACTTCTACTTTTACTCAAGTACAAGATCTATACTTATACCACCTCTGTTTATAGCCTATGAAAAAAACTATTAGAAAACGAAGGCTAAAGCTAACGTTAAGATAGTGACAATGTATGCTAATTAGCCAGCTCAACGATAATATTGCGACAGAAACACTTTTCAGTGCACATCACGCTCTGCCGCTCCGACAGGGAGCTCTGCTCTGAACACCTGAACGGCCCGTTCTAACAGCTGTTCACCAGCGGTCCAGTCTGTGCCACAGTGACTCCGGACTACACAGTTAATATTAACGAACGCACCCGTAGGTAATGTAGCTGCTGAAGCTAGACCATCATCGCGGCCGCAGATTACTCCGGGTCCCAATTTATTGAAATGTGAACTAAAAGTTATCAAGCATGAACCATCACAATTTTTTTTAAATAAAAACGAAATAATATACATAAGTTACACTAAATGTTAATCTGTTAATTGATTAAGTAAACACATTTTGTCAAATAAAGTGACAGGCTAGGCCTGTGCATGTGGTAACAGCTATGCCCAGCATGGGCTAAGTTCTGTAGGTGCAGCTGGTGCAGGTCCTCCTCCCTCAGGCCTGGTCCTCCTCACAGGGAAAGACCCTCAGCCCTCTCTGGCCAAAGCAACAGACAGGACGTTCATAAAGCTGAGGTCTCCCCCAAGGTCTCTAATCATCCATCCTGTGATTATGAGAGGGGAACAAATAGTGTAATAGATGCTTTGGACAATAAGAAATATAAAGTTAACTGTTGAGTTGCTCAGTTTTTTAGATTGTCAGGGTTTAATAATACGAACAAAAGGAGAGGCACCGAAAAAAAAAATGTGGGCTTTCAATCAATTGTGTTGATTTTGTCTTTTGAATTGTTTGTCTAAAGTCAAGTGGCTAGAACTGTTACTTATAGTTTGAATGATACAGTCTGGTTATCATGTTTGGAGGAGGCATCACAGGTAAGAGCACCATTTGTTGTGTTCCATCCACAACAAATGCACACAGATCGATGTGTGTATTTATTTATCTACTATTTCTTGAATCATTACTGTCAGTCCAAAACAAGAGATTTTGTTTTAGTAAAACTATTTTTTAAACATTATCTCTTTTCCACTACACTATCTTGAATATTTTAGTTTTTACATCACTACATTTATCTAACAGCTTTAACATTGTAACATTGTAAAGGTGACTGGGTAATTATGACAGCATGTCCTACTATTTTGAGAGTTTGAACAAACCAGACCTGCATCTATTAATGTAGAAAATAATCAGCATATTAAACCATTATGAAAGTAATCACTAGTTAGCTCATTGTTCAAAATGAGCTCCAACTACAACAGTTAAGTCAACTCTTGCATCGGTAATAACAATAAAACAAATGATATAATATAATAGTATAACTTGTGTCTACTTTAAATACTTTAACAACACTTTCCTAATTATACTAGCATACTTTTACTAAAGTAACATTAACATGTTTAAATGCAGGGCTTTTGTAAGAGAGTATTTCGTATAGTGTAGCATACTTGACTTATCTAACCGAAGTGATCGTTACGTTACTTTGCAAACCGTCAACCCCCCCCCCCCCCCCCCCCCCCCCCCCCCCCCCCCCCCCCCACACACACACACAAGGACACGGTAACGTTGTGATTCACTTCAATTAATGATAACTACGGAGCTTGCTAACAGCAAGGCACAAGGCTACTTCACTCATTTAGCTAATATGTAAGATACAAATGCTGTCGAGCCCTCACTGCTTGTAAAATAAAGAGCACAAACTGACTACTTACCCGAGCGGAGTTCTCCGTCATTTTTCTCCCGGGTTGTTGTGATCACATGACTGACAAAGCCGTGCTCTGATAGGCCAGAAGTCGGTTTGATTGCATTAGGGCTCGATTGCTTATCCTGTCTGAGTAGCCCGGATGATGCTGCATCGCAATTTTGAACATCGAATTTTATACACCGAATTTTTTGACGTCACATTTGTTTCACTTGAATTTTTGGGATCTGAATTTGAACATTCGAAAGTTTAATTTTTACATTTTTATTTCACATAGGTAAATACATGCATGATTTTCAAAGTAATTATTTTCAAGGCTATACATTCGGTGTCTAATAAAATTCAAATACTTCTGTCTCTTGTTTGCTTCCATAGGTTTGTTTTCCTGCCAATCTACTGTGTGCAGTCCAGTCCAGGAGGGGGAGCTAATGCACCCACTCGGTAGTTGCCAACAGCTACCTCCGAATAAACAGCAGCAGAAGAAGAAGAAGTGTCCGGACATGATTTGCGTAGAGTTTGCCTGATAGCCCAGCCCGGTCAGGTAACAACAACACTGTTCCGCCAAAAGAAAATAACCCCATACATAACAGAGACACACATCCTCGTGTACTTCTGATACAGGCTGAGCCGCTGGATAACACTGTCTGGTCATGGAAAGTGGCGGCAAGTGAGGTAAGACAAGTTAAAGAGCTAACTGCTAACTAACCTAACGTTGACTTGTTACCGAATAAGATGTGGGCCGAACAACTGGTGATATTCTATAACGGTATAGGCAGATGTATCAGGGGCGTGCCCTGTCGAATAACCAGGAAATACACATTTCGATCGCTTCTTCTGTCGTTTACATAAATCTGTTGGTATATTTGGCTCCATAGGAACACTTTGATGCACTTTCAGTACCAGTGTGTGAGGTTGTGGTTGCGATGCCGATATGGGGACGCGTACAGGACTACAAAAAGACACACGAGGTGACGGATGTGTGTTCAAAACATTGCAAGCTTGAATACATAATTTAACCATTTATTTTTGCCAGACTTATTACTGAATATCATTCTTAATGTGATACCAAGTCCATCTGAGACCTAGCTGTGTATACCTTCAGACAGCCAAGTGAAGCACACGTTGTTTACTCACAGTTTGAAAGCAGCGTGGAGAAGTAGCTGTGGAGAGCTCCGCCCAGGATAAACTGTGATACGACTTCTGTGGCTTGTTCTTGTTGTCAGTCTTATATTTGTATCGTTATTAATATGATGTCGAGTTGATTTGAGACCCGTTTATACTTTCATACCATCTGTTAGTGAAACATACAGTCTGTCTGAGTTGTTTACACGCAGCGTGGAGAGCTGTGGTAAACTGATCCGCTCAGATTAAACTGTGACACGACTTCTGTGGCTATCAACCAGCGATCATGTTTAATATTAAAGACTACACACATTGTTCCCTTATCAAAACGGTATTCTGCACTTTGCCGCACTTATCCAGATAAGATGTGACTGTTTACTTGGTTACATTTCGATACAGCGACACCCAATGACGAGGGTACTCACACATAGGCTACGTTGAGAACTAGAAACACATATATTCATACTTTTTCACACATTTGTTAACATGTTTTCATTTCTAACTTAACGTTTATGCATTTGTGTGTGTGTGTGTGTGTGTGTGTGTGTGTGTGTGTGTGTGTGTGTGTGTGTGTGTGTGTGTGTGTGTGTGTGTGTGTGTGTGTGTGTGTGTGTGTGTGTGTGTGTGTGTGTGTGTGTGTGTGTGTGTGTGTGTGTGTTCTCTCTCAGCCCCAGTGCACTTGTCCCTGAAGCTGGATTAAACAAGTCCCAGTGCCATGCCAGTCCTGGCTATGGCACAGCCTGTGGTTGATCACCAGAAGCGCTTTCAGGCTGCTGTGGATGTCATCCATAACCTCCCCAAGAATGGTACACAGCCATCCCATTATCTCATGTGTGTCAGAAGGTTTGCTGCTGAGCACACAGTTGATTTATTATTGCAGAATCCTCAGGCCGCTTGACCTGTTAGTGCAGCTGTGGTTCCTGCTGTGCTGCACACAGTCAGTGTCCAACAGAACATCACTCAGAAACTGTTGGTCTAGAGAAGCCAAGTGTAGCAGCCAGCATGTAGTAAGACCTTAATAACTATGTATGGTTTTCTGGATATTTTGAGTTTTATCAAGCAGATCTTTGAATGAAAAGTAGTATCATCAGCATCATTCAATCTCATAATTGAAAACATCAAGTGGAATTCCAGTGTAACTCTTTGTTAAACATTGACCCAACATTTTTAATAGAGTTTGGGTTAATGCTGTTTTTACAAAGAAGAGTGATCAGCACATTTGATTGATACATTAACTCGTGACATGTCTGCCATACATCCTCTCCAAACTCCACTGGTGACAAAGTCATATTAACTGAATTGATTCATATGGCCAGTTAAATCGCTTTAATGTTACTTAAAACATGAACTCTTAGATTTCTGAACACAGCTTAAAGCTCTTTGACCTGAAAGTAAATTGAAAATGAGCTTCCTATGATCCTAATAGTCCCTATGTGGGTTCCCTGTAGTCGAGGTAGAAGTCAGCAGACAGTTGAACATTCCTGATAAGGGTCTTTGTTTTCTGCAGGCTCCTACCAGCCGTCCTATGAGGTGATGCTGCGTTTCTACAGTCTGTACAAGCAGGCAGTGTGTGGACCCTGTACTGTCCCCCGGCCCGGCTTCTGGGACCCAGTTGGTCGCTACAAATGGTGTGTATGTGTGTGAGTGCTTGAATATCATTGTGATGAATCAGGTCAGTTTCAGTACCACATACAGGAGCTACTCAGCAGCTTTTACAAGTGCTTGTATTTCCTCTAGCAAAATAACGGCTAGCTGTTTATACTCTACTTCAGATTTCCATTAGAAAGGTTTCCAGTAAACACTAAAACACACATTTAATAAGTGTCTCTTCATGGAGTTTGTTGTGATCAGTGTAATTCAGTTAACCATGTATGTTGCATCCAAAGACCTTTTAGCCTAGCTCTTTCTAAAGAGCAGCAGCAAGACGTAGGTACGCTGAAGTCAGCAAGGGCTCTGTTGCCTGGTTACTGATGAGAGAGATCAGGGTCCTGCTTAAAGGTGCAATGTTTTATTCTGATCCACATATTTACTGTATACGTTTTATTCCTGTGTAATAATGCCCAACAATTCTCACTGAACAAGAGAGTATATATAGCAAATATGATTAAACCTGCAGTATGATAATAGTGCTTCTTCTTTGAATCAATTCATATATAACATATAATAACATTGGACAAGAAGAAATGTCATCAACTATCTGGACCAGCTCTTCAAATAGATAGATTTTTCTCTTACTTACACTATATTAGCAACAGACCAACTTAACAAGGAAATACTCTTTAATTGCACCCTTTTGTTTGGAAAGAATATGTTTGGTTTTTCTTTTAATGAAGATATTCTACCCTAAACACCATTTTCAAATGAGTACCATCCCAAAATATGTAGGTGTCTCTCCACCACAACCTACGTCCCTAAAGTAATGATTATTATCTGAAACGTGAGGTATAGGAACGCTATGATTGCCGGTATTTACATGTTTGTGTTGGTTATTGTGTCTTACTGCAGCACTCTGGTCCAGGAGAAGCTTCACAGTAGCAATCTAACCTTTGATGTCATAAAAGCATAGATGACACAGTTTCAATGTTTTCCATATGTTTGCATATAAATACGATTTTTGAAGTAAGATTGTCCAACATTCAAATGACGGTCAACATTAAGCTTCGTGTCAAAGGGTTTGTTTTATCAGATGTGATGTAAAGGTTTTGTGTGCGTGTGTGTGTTCTCTCTCAGCCCCAGTGCACTTGTCCCTGAAGCTGGATTAATGCAATACTTAATGTTGAGTGTTGCATGCTACATACTGTCTCGTTAGATCAAAGTGTGTGTGTGTGTAACGTCAGTTGATGATTCCACTGTGTGTGTGTGTGTGTGTGTAGGGATGTGTGGTGCCGGCTGGGGGGGATGAACACTGAGAGCGCCATGGCTGCATACGTGGACGAGATGAAGAAAGTAGCACAGGAGGTACCTTTTATAACAAACATTTCATTCACATATTTTAACTGAACATTTCTGGCGTGATAGCATTTGCAGATTAAGAAAAGGATATCCCCATTAAATATATACATATTTTTTAATTGAAGAGTAACAGCTGAAATCCCAGTTGCATGTTGACTGAGTCAACTGACTCAGTTAACTCAGCTAACTAGCTGCTAATAATATTTATTTTTATTTAGGTCTGGTGATAAATAGTTTTTTAACTCTTGACTTGAATCAATTCACAATAAACTTGTGAATATGAAGTGAGACATCATAATAAAATACAAATAAAAGCTGGAATTATCAGTTCAGAGATGATTAAAAGTGTCCTCTGGCTCTTCAGGTCATCGACAGCGTTTCCATGAACGAGAAGACGGCCTCGCTCTTCCACCACTTCGAGCCGCTCTACCTGGTGATGGACGACATGCCACGGCCCCCAGAGGAGCTGCTCACTCTCAGAGAAGGTCGGGCATATCTGCTGTCATGTTATCATCAGAATATTTGATTGAAATAACATCTGTGCACTCCTCATCTGATAAGTTGACCAATAATATTTATGGTGAACTGATTCTAATAAGTTGTGTTATGAAGGTTTTTATGCATGTCTGCAGTCTGCAGAGTCAAAAACCCACAAAGTACACCCTGTAGCAAGTAAAACTCTAACACAGAAAAGACCTGTCTATGCTGCTCCAAAACGCCTCGTTGGAGATTTCTCATTTTCCATTGTTTTCTTCCTGGGTTCTCTGACGTGTCAATACCCAGAGGCCACACCCTCTGCCAGCAGAACATATATACTGTTGGAAGCTCAGGTTCAGTTCAAAACTGTATCCAGTCACGCCAACGAGGGTCTATTTCCTGTATTGTGAGGGGAAATCTTCAATGCATGCCTTACCGAGGGCAGAACCACGACAAAGTCATTGGTTGAAATTTATTTTTAACACTGTTCCTTCAGATGTTCGAGCTGGTAATTTACTGTGTGCGCAGCATTTCACGGACCAAAGCTTCACAAACCTTTCAGCGATTCAGGCCGGATATGCACAGCGTAGGGCACTGAATAACGATGCTGTTCCTACTTTGTTTGGACCAGCGGGAGATTCGGGTACATAACCTATAAGTATTCATTGTTGTTTGTGTATTTATGATGTTTAAAACAAACAAGGTATCTACCACGACTGTTTAAATGGGTAAACGTTTTTCGGGCTGCTAAGCCATTGACACAGTGCTAACTGGGCTAACTAAGTTGCTAGCGTTTCCATATATCAACTCCAATGTCAGCAGATGGCCTTACATGTATCTCATAGCAGGAGAATGTCTGCATTCACACACGAAATACTCATAGGCAGTATACTCCGGGTGATTTACCATACGGTCAGTCGCGAAACTTAATTACATTATAGTTGGCGTTCCTAGCGTGTATGCTACCGAGCTAAAAAGAAGGCTACCAAGAGCTAGACATGAGTTTGCTAGGGAAAACATTGTTTTTATGCCAGCTACAATGAATGACCGAACATAGCAGACTACCCGTATAAGATTGGCTGTTGTTCATTTATTGCATTTTAACGGCTGTAATTCGTTACTTTAATAACACTGGAAATACTTTACGGCAGTTATCATTTACGGTAGTTCCGGATGTTGTCATACCAACTCACGTTCAGCAATAATAATATCTCGATGTCTATAATACTGGAAATACTTTTCAAAGCCTACTGACTTTAGTGTTAAAGTCAGTAGGCTTTGATGTGCAACACTCCGTGTACATTTTAACTTTGCATTCACAACTCTAACGGTACGTCCACACAGCAGCTTTTCAAAAATCTTGAAAATCTTGGAGCTGGGCGTGTCTGAAAGCTTGGGGATTTCGCGACCAACAACCAATCACATGAATCTCCCGCCCCCGACATACAAAGCAAAAAACCCCGGTTCTTCTCCACTATTTCTTTTAACATTTTGAACATTTATGAGATTAATGTTTATGGTGCTATTTTATGCTACATTCCATGCTGGCTAATGATACTGTCTATGCTTGCTAGCAACGAAGTAAACTAGCAACGAAGTAAACTGGATATAAAATCCCCAAACAAGCGAAAACCTACCAGTTTCACCCACCGTCTCTGCCACCTCCCTCCATGCCTGGTTCCTCCGGTTTGTATCCCGGTAAGTAAATAGGGACTGGTCATAAAGAACCGGGTGATTTGCTACCGCAATAACTAATTTCTCCTCCATTTTTGTGGAATATAGAATGAACTGCGGTCTGGCTCTCCCAGCTTGCACGCGGTTTGATTGGCTAGCGCTTGAACTGTCAGATTTGCATAAACGGATCTGATTGGCTGTCGCTTCCAGCTCAGCCTCAAAAGTTGAACATTGTTCAACTTTGGAATCCTGAACATCCTGGAAATCCTGGAAATCTTCGCCTCGCCCCCCCACAATGCAGTTCGGCGACAAGCGAGGGAAAGTGACGTCATCCCCATTCAAATTCAATGGGCGGAGACGCGCTGGAAGCGGTGGACAAATCGCCAAAAGCTGCTGTGTGTACGGGCCGTAAGAAAAGGAATATTAGCCACATGCTAAATGCTAACCGGAGATGAAGGATTTTCAGAATAAAAGCTTGGCATGTTGATTGTGCGAGAACTTCTGGTTTTTCTTCCGTTCTACGCCTCAAAGGTCCATAATCAAATCTGTAAATGTTATGGAGGTTCTGCAGGGTGTATGGGTTGAGACAGTTTGGCTCTAGTCCTTGGTGGTGTACCATGCACATAATAGGTGCTGGGACTTGGTTAATTCGTGTTACAACCTATAGGAAGGTAAGATATTTGTAACATAACACGTTTAGCAATCAAACTAACTATGGCGAGGTTTAAAAAAATAAACATTCAATTACTAAGGAAGAAATAAAAGGGCATATAATAGTCTATTGACTTGACAAATATGTATGGTGTATATCAGGGGTACTCAAATACAAATCTTAAAGGTCCAAAATAAATGTTTCAATAAGACAAAGGTCCGTTTATTACGGTCATTCAAACTTTTAAATAATTGCAACAAGATTCTTAACACGAGGTTGCAAAAACAAAAAGTCTCTGTATGCAGCAGTTTTCATTGTTATTGTGTCTGTGCTTGACCCCTCAGAGTTGCAGTGTCAGAGCTGCACAGTTATGAATAAAGGCCTCTGCACCCTCTTTCATTCAGCATTCCCATTATTGCTTTATAAATGTCTTGCCCCCTTGTGTGTCCACTGAGGTTCGTCAGGCCCAACACATCTTCAACAAACTCCCCCTTTGCCTCATCATAACAACTCACAAACACCAGCAACTGAGCATTGTCAGTGGTGTCAGTGGACTCACCCACAGCTAAGGAAATGCACTGTGCATTTTTTATTCCATCACAAAGCTGATGAATCAAATCACCAGCCAGTATTTATGTTCTTCTGGTTGCTGTGGAATCTGAGAGGGGGATTTGCTTGATTTGACCTGTTATTTCCTCTTTTTGTTTGCCTTCAACATGGTCTCCATCACTTCAGTCATGCATTCTTTTATACTTCAGTTATTATCCAGTGGAAAGTCCTTACCTACTGGCCTAGTTCAATCAAAGTGGTTACTTTTGTTTGGCTGGGCAGTGTAGTTTTACACACCGTCTTATTTGACTTTCTCAGGACTTAAAACAGTTTTTTGGGGGCAGACCCCCTCAAAGAAAACAATATATTTACACACGTAAGGTCTTCATCTTAATAGTTGTGTATGCTCATCCGTGAGCAGAGCATCAAGTTGACATGTCTATTACAGCTGAATGCGGCGATTACCATTTTGTTCAGCTAAACGCCTCACAAACGTATTAAGATCAACAGCTTTAGTGCGTTTTGATTCAATGCTGAGTACAGCCAAACTGACAGTCTCTTCTCTGTCACTGTAGACCGTACCTCATTCCTTCAGTGCTTGGGTCCGAATGCTTCTCGTTTTGCGCCGTCCTGTTCAAATGAAATCGCCGCCAATCATGTCCACGCTCGTGCCAGAACCGGGGGAGGGGTTACATGACGTGCATCTTGTGCTGCATTCACTTGCACTCGGACATTAGACACTTTCTCTCATAAATGTCCGATGAGCCACAACCTTTCTTTCAAAACAAAGCTGCCAACTGGGGTGGCAGCTGGGGTGGCAAGGCCTATTTTTAGGGTGTCAGTTGCCACCCCAGTAGGTGAAACTAGGCTACTAGCTACAGTACAGATGGAACTAGATGAGCTGTTAACTCTCGCTCTGAATTTTTTTTTTTTAAACTCTCGCTCTGACTCAGACAGGTTGAAAGAGACACACACATTTTTCCCACCCGCATTCCGCGAAGACCCGCCCTACTGTGCCTCTGATTCGCAGATTGTTTGGGGGGAAAAAACGCTGACGGGATGCTGAATGTGATTGGACCAATGCGTTGACAAACACACACAGACAGTGGTACAGGACATGCAGAGCGCTGTTTGCAGTCTATGTGGATCATTTTGACTCGTTGCGTTGTGGCGATGTCTCGCAGATAACACAGATAATACAGATAATACATATGAAAAGTATAATTTGCTCAGAGTCCAGAGACAGTTGTGGTTCGGTCCGGATCCGGACCGGAGTCCGGACTTTGAGGATGCCTGGTGTATATCATGGGTCGGCAACAGGCGGCCCGCAGGCCATTGTTGGCCCGCCAGCAATACTAATTGGCCCGTAATTTTGAGAATCAAAAATAAAATATTATTTTTATTTTATTTTTTACAACATAGGACCGACAGTCGCACATCAGGGTTTCCGTTAGCCGGTAATTACCGGTTTTCATCTGGTAAAATTCATTAAAAACCGGTAAATTCAAAACCTGCTGGTCAAAATGTCTGGTAATAATTAGGGATGCTCCGATCGATCGGCCGCCGGTCATTATCGGCTGATATTCACTCTTAATAGTTTGATCGGTGCTCTCTATAAAGGCCGATCAGGAGAGCTGGATCTGATCGATATGGTCATAAACGCGAGTGAAGTATAACCGGACCTGAGAGAGAGATCAGATCAGCTGCTGCATAATCACCTGAAGCCCCGCCCACTGTTTAGCGCGCTGCATGAGAAACTGACGGGCTGTCAGGAGAGAGGGAGGGAGAGGGGAAAAGAGAGGATCCGTTTCTCCCGTGTTATTACCCAAAGTTAATGTAAACTTTTGTTTAATGTACTTCATCTACTATAAGTAGTTTGTTTGAATGTAATAATTATGTTGTTTGTTGTTTGTGGAATAATTTATTGAAAAATGAATCTGAACTTTTCGATCTGTAACGATTATAAACTGAAGCGATATAAAAATTACTTCCAACTAAGTTTTAAACATCAGCATATCCTGTCATAGTCCGTGATTACCTGCTAACGGAAACTTTGCTACACCATTCTTATTATTATTATTGAAACATGACCGGTAAATTTCAAATTTGTCCGGTAAAATAAATTCTGTCCCG